AGTGATTTTTAAGAAAAATATTTTTTCTGTAGAGAAAATCCCAACATGGTATCAGAGACAAGGTCCTGAGTGTTCTTAAGAAAATTCGTTACGTGCAAAATTCGTGCGAAACAAATTCCGCTGCAAAATCGTTATGTGCGAAATCCGAGTTCGTGAAAGAAACCAGTTCATGCAAAGTTCGTCTCTGTGCAAAATCCGAGTTCGTGAAAAATCGTTCTGTGCAAAATCCGGGTTCTTGCGAAGTCTGGGAAGAAGCTAAAAGATGACTAAAACCTTGCAAACAATTACTATTCCAGTGTTTGATGGGCAAAATTATGAACTTTGAGCTACAAGGATAAAAACTACTTTAAGGATTCAAGAGCTTTGGGAAGTTGTGGAGGAAGGATTTCCACCAAAGCCAAAAGAAAAACCTGAAGAAAAAGGAAAATTATTAGAAGAATGGAAAGAAAAAGAGATGCAAGATATGAAAACTCTACAATTGTTGACAGATTTGGTTTTAATGAAGGTAGTTTCTGCAACTACATCTAAGGAAATTTGGCAAAGGCTACAAGAAACCTATCAAGGCAACGACCAAGCGAAACTTGTGAGGCTAGATTGTTTGAACAAGGAGTTCGAAGATCTGAAGATGAAGGAATGAGAAAAGATCCGGGATTACACAGATAAAGTACAAGAGATGGTGAACTAGATGAGTTTACTAGGAGAAGAGAAGACAAATCATCAAGTGATCCGGAAGATACTAAACTCGATGCCAAAGAGTTATGCCGGTTTAGCAGCTTTAATGCAAGAAATCAAAGATCTAAAAAAGATTACTGTGACAGATCTCGTTGGATCACTAATCTCACATGAAGCAAAGTACCTACCAGATGATGAATCTATCGAAGGAGCTTTTTATGCAAGAATCAAAAGAGCAAAGTTTGGCCAGCGTTCAAATCAACATCAAAGAACAAACAAGTGGTGCAATACATGCAAAAAGGATAATCACAATGAAGAAGATTGTTACTTCAAGAAAGGAAATTCACCATGGTGTGGAATCTGCAAGAAAAATAACCACAATGAAGACGTTTGTTACTTCAAGAACAGGGAAGGAAAGCCCCATGAGAACAAGCAAGGTCAAGGAGAATGCTATGTATGTGGCAAGTATGGTCATTATGCAAAGTACCGCAAAAGCAAATGAGAAGCTAACTCTTGCCAAATCGAAGAAAAAACAGAGAAAAGGTTTGGGGAGTTGTCTTTCACTGCAACAGCTTATGATGCAAGTCAAGTTTA